ACTTGTAACAGCCCCTGTTGCCCTGTGTAAAAGCCAAAACAATCCCATTAAAACCCAAGTTACATCACACTGGCATTATGACTCTGCTCAGAACTCCAATAGCTCAGTAAGAACCAGTCTATAGTAGCCTGCAAGGCCTTGCATTGTATGTTCCTTCCCTTGCCCCTCTGTTCCTGATGTCCTTCTATTTTATCACATAGTATTATGTAGGGCTTAACAACAAAGAGTTGGGGGCTGGGGATTTAGCTCAGGACCTGAGTTGGATCCTCATTACCAAAACAAAAACAAAAAACTGGGGGCCAGGGATTTAGCTCAGTGATTCTACCACCTGCCTCGTGAGCACAAGGTCCAGGTACCAAACACATACACACTCCTGATGTCCTTCTATTTTATCACATAGTATTATGTAGGGCTTAACAACAAAGAGTTGGGGGCTGGGGATTTAGCTCAACACCTGAGTTGGATCCTCATTACCAAAACAAAAACAAAAAACTGGGGGCCAGGGATTTAGCTCAGTGATTCTACCACCTGCCTCGTGAGCACAAGGTCCGGGTACCAAACACATACACACACACACACACACACACACACACACACACAAAACAGAAAGAGTTGGGACACTGTCTGTCTAGGTTCAGATCCCAGTTCTGACGTTCACTAGCTGTGTGACCTTGGGAAAGTTATTTGAACTTTGTACCTCAGTTTTCATGTCTGTTAAATGGAGTTATTAGGGTTGTCATGAAGATCAGTATTTGTATAGTATTTAGAATAGTGCCTGGCATTTTTTATTAGTAGCAAATACAGCAATTCTCAAGTCCTGTTCTAAGGTATTATCTTTATTTAATAGCTGAGGAAACATTTTACAGCTTGAATAAATTACTTAAATTGCCCAAAGTCACACAGCTACTAAGTGGGCAGAACCAGGATTCAAACCCAGGAAGTCTAAGTCTAGAAGCCATGCTTTTTATATGATTTTGCTCAATAAATATTTATTTTTTGAAATAATAGTGAATACCAGATTGGGGGAAAATCTCTTAGCTTATCTAAACATGTCTATTTTGACATTTGTTTTATTTTATTTATTTGTTTAATTTTTGTTTTGCTGTGGATCTAAGCTAGAGCCTACCCATGCTTGTCAAGTGCTCTGCCACTGAGCTAATCCTCAGTCCGGTCCTGGTTCTTGAAAGATAGTTTTGCTGAGTATATCATTCTAGATTTAATTATTTTCTTTCAGCATTTTAGGTATCATATTCTGCTGTCTTTTTTGTTTTTTTCTAAGACAGGATCTCGCCATGTAGTTCAGGCTGGTCTTGAACTCACTATGTAACACAAGTTGGCCTCAAAGTCATGGCAATTCCCCTTTCCTCCCAAGTGCTGGGATTACAGGAATGCATCACCATGCCCAGCTTGTCTTTTGATTTCTATTGTTGATGTCTGTTTAATTCAAGATCTTTGAAGGAAATGTTATTTCTCTTAGACTTTTTGCTAAAGTACTGGGGGCTATGGCTTCAACATATGAATTTGAGGGATGGAGATGTACAATTTAGGACATAACAGTATGTAGTCCATATTATAGTGTCATACAGAATAGTTCTAAATTGCTATAGAAATACCCTGTGCTGTTCATCTCTTTTCTCCGTGATCATTGCTCTTTCTACTATCTACATAATTTTACCTTTTCAGAATGTCATAATTCAAATTATCTTATTTTACTTAGCATTATATATGTAAGGTTCCCACTTGTCTTTTTGTGGCTTGATAACTCATGGCTTTATTTATTTATTTATTTATTTTTGTATTGGGAAATCAGACTCAGGTCCTTGTGCTTGCAAGGCAGGCAGCAGAACCACTGAGCTAAATCCCTGGCCCTACTCATGGCTTTTTACACTGATTATCTATTCACTTGTATTTCAACAATTATATTTTTTATTTCTTTAAGTACTATTTGGCACCCTCACAGATGTTCCTATTTATTTTGTGTGTTGCATGCATGCTTTTGTGATTCCATGTGTTATTTTTTAAACATTCTATACATATTTATATATTCTGTGACTAATAATCCTAATATCTGAAGTCTTCAAGGGGGTCTATCCCTGTTACTTGTGATGACTTTTTTCTTACACTTTTGACCATCTATGATTATGAGCTCATAATATTTTTCTTCATTATTGATTATCCTGCAGGCCTAAATTAGGGGATGCTTCCCTCCAAAAAAATTCAGCATTTGACTCATTTGGAAACCAGCCAGTAATACTAATCTGCAACCACCCTGGTGGTTTTTTTTTTTTTTTTTTTTTTTTTGAGGGTTGGGTCAGTGTGAGAGTCTTCATTTTGCCATATCATAATGGATGTTTGCTTTCAGGGAAGCCTTACCTTTTGTTTGTTCTAACTCTTCGTCATTTGAGGTTAGCTCGCTTTGTTTTTAGAGATTTCCATTATTACTGCAAGTCCAATGAGTATATTCTGAGAGTCTATTTTACCTGTGATTTCATTGCTTTGTAGGTTGATAGCTCTTTAGGTTGTTTAATTGGACATCCTGCCAAAGCAGGATTCAGTTGTCTGGGTTTAGAAATTGCGTATAGAATGGTGGTGATCACATTAGGCACCTTCCAGTCCTCTTGGATGTCCTCCCAATTTCACTCTTAATTGTTTACTCTTCAGGATCAAACTTTGGGCCCTAGACGAGTGACACATTTTGTCCTGACCAGCAGGGAATAATAAATAATGGGTATTTTAGGTGCTCCAAGTGCTAATTGAGGTGAGATTTTTATTTTCCTGGCAAAGTTCTGATAGAAATTAGATTTGAATTTATTTATGGAAAGAAAACTCTGGAAGACAGATGTAGCAATCAAAAAAGCACAAAAGGCTGGGGATTTAGCTCAGTTGTTCTGCCACCTGCCTCAGACCCCAGTTCAATCCCCTGTACAAAAAAAAAAAAAAAAAAAAAAAAAATAGACACAAAGTTGCAGTTTGAATCCCAACTTGGGAGCTTGGCCATTTAGCAGCACTGTGACCTGATACATCTGATGTGACTTTTTTGAGCCCTAGAAATCTCAACTGTAAAGAAGAGTAAAAGCTACTATTTACTGATTGTTTACAAAATACCAAGCCTACATTTATTTATATATATATATGTATATATTTCTTACTTAATATTCAGTAATATCTTTATGGGATATCTCCCACCCTTCAGTACTGGAGACTGAACCTAGGGCCTTATGTGTGTTAGGTAAGCACTATACCAGTGAGCTATACCCCTACCCCTTTTGTACTTTAAGACAGGATCTCATTAAGTTGCCCAGTTTGGCCTGGACTTGTGAACCTCCTGCCTCTGCCTCCTAGATAGCTAGGATTGTAAGTGTCTACCCTAATGACTGGCTGCAGTATGGTTATTATATCTGTTTTGATAAGGAGAAAAATGGAAATGTAGAGAAGACAAAAAAAAAAAAAAGGCTTCTTGTTAAGGCCAAATTTAACTGAGTTAGCACATGCAGAATGCTGGGCAAATATTATAACATAGTTAATAAATAGCAGTTACTAATACCATGATCATTAACATTTTCTGGATATGCAATTAAGTCTTTTGTGCGATTTGACCTAAATAAGATTCACTTACTTAAAAACCATTTTCTGGAGCACTTGTGATAGCCATGTGTACTGTTAAATATTAGGAAACCAGGGAAGAATAAGACAAATATGATCCCAGCATTTAGGGCACTCCCTTGGAGTAAAATAGATGGATACATACATGTTTACATCTGAGCCTAGGAAGTGCTGTGGTGGAGCAAGAATTGGGTGGTTTGGCAATGGAGATTTATCTGAAGAGATACCTTCCCAGTTTAAAAAACTAAGTTGGAGGTGAAGGTAAGGATTAAAGGCAGAGAGAGCAGTTATGAAGTCGAAGGGGATAAGAGAGTGCATGCTGCATTTAAACCAGTGAAAGTACATCTGTGTATGAGGTTTTAGGAAAAAAGTGGAAAGTGAGGCTGGAAATGTGGACAGGTGCCATATTCTTAAAGCATTTTTGTAACTCCTGCTTCAAGAGTAGGCCTTTTTATCTTTAGACATTGGAAAACTTCTGAAAATGTTCTTACCCATCAGTGATGTGATTGAAAAGATCACTCTGGCTGAATTGTGGGAATAACAACAACAGTAACTTAAAATGCATTACTCTGTTTAATCCTTACATTACCTGACATTCAGGGGTAGGTATTGTCTTGATTTTCAAGATGAAGAAATTGGTTGATTTCCTTTCCTTTTCTTTCTCTTTCTCTTTTTTTTTTTTTTTTTTTTTTTTTTTTTTTTTTTTTTTTGTACCGGGGATTGAACTTGGGACCTTGCACTTGCAAGGCTGGCAGTGGAACCACTGAGCTAAATCCCTGGTCCCAGATGAAGAAATTGGGAGTTAATTCACTCACAAAAATTTACCCAGTTAGTGGGAAGTGGTGTCCTAAGTCCACTGTGTCATCTTCAATTCGTTATGATTTTTCATAACCTCTCCTGTGTTTGTGAAAATTCTCATTCATACTACTGTAAGAATGGTATACTCTGTTAGTTTACAAAGCCTGACATATTATTATTTAATTTAATCTTAAAAACTGTCAGGTAATGTTACCTTCACGTTACAGGTATGAAAATTGAGGTTTGGGGTATATACAGCGGACCCTTGACTTACAAAATCCATTGGGTCCAAGCACTGGGTGTAACTCAAGTTGGTTGTAAGTCAGTACAGCTGAGAGCTGTTTATTTACTTGGGTACACACTATAGATAACAAGAGGTAGATGAATCTTCCATTAACCTAATAACCCCAGTAGTTTGTATGTCAGGCTGGTCATAACTTGAGGACCCACTGTATCAGTTAGTGGAACTGGGTCTTGAACACCAGGCTCTTGTGGAAGAAAGCCTGTTTTGTGGGTATCTTATGAGCATAACACACTTCTTTCTTGCATCTGTGCCCTTTGTTCATTGTGTGAATGTTTATAAACCTCTTTCCTTACAGGTTTTGGAGACCATATTCATTGGAGGACACTAGAAGATGGGAAGAAAGAAGCAGCTGCCAGGTACAAAACATGATTTTAGGTTATTTGTGATGGTTAAACTCTTTCTAGTCATCAACAGTATGAATTTCAGGTGAAGGGGTATGCCAAGGCAGAGGAAGAACTGAATAGTTGCCTAACAACAATACTGTTTAACATTTATTAAGTGCTTACTATGTACTGTGCATTACATTATATGAATTAACTCATTTTATGCACACAATAACTGTGGTGAGTTCTTTTGGCACTTTTTGGAGATGAGAAAACTAAGGCATAGCACAGTTAAGTCTTGTCCAAGATTACACATTAAGTAGCAAAGCCAAGTTTCAGGCGCAGGCAGGCACTCTGACTTTAGCATCTGCCTTCTCAACCAGAATGTTATACTGCCTCCTAGACTCAAGTTAAACAGTCTTATGTCCCGAATAGGTTCAGTTTATGCACAGACAGTTCAGAGCACAAGGAGGAGGAAAAGATGAGGGGTTGAGGCTAAGCAATGTAAGTTTTATATGCAGTGATTTAATCTTCACAGCAATCTATGAAGTTGGCTCACATATGAAATCATTTTATTGAAAAAGAAATTGAAATATAGAAAAGTGAAACAACTTGTCAATAGTTAAACTACTAGTAAGTGGCAGAGCCAAAGCTTGCATTTTCTTTACTATATTGTACTGGAGAGATACAAAGACCTTTTCTTCCCCAATATGAGTTCCTTCATCGTACATGCACATTTCTGGACCCACCAAACTGTAGTGCTGACTGTTCCTAGAACAGATCCTACAGTTTCATGGTTCTGGGTCCAAACCTCCTGTGGTAGAGTTGTCAGATTTATCAGATTAAAAATAAATTTTTTTAAAGGATGTCTAGTTAAATTTGAATTTTAGCTAAACAGCAAGTAAATATGTCCATGCACTTAGGGACATACTTATATAACTTTAAAAGTTTCTTATTTATCTGAAAAATATCAAGGGGTGTCTCCGGGCAGTTTTTCCTCTTGTGTTCTTTTATAGTCTATCCTATATCTATCCGTTATAGCATTTGTTATTCCTAGTGACTAAGATCACGGATTTCCGGGGGGAGGGGGTCGCTTTGTGTTTGTATCTGAATCATCAACCATGGAGATATTAAGCGATCGAAATGGTTGTTGAAGAAACATTTACTGAAAGCCATGAGGTGTAAGAGGAGGCATGAAGGAGAGCAAGCATTTATGAATTGCATTTGTATGCTAAATATAGTGCCAGTGGTTTGGCACTATTTCATCCGTATTGAATTCTCTTTAATAAATAAATGGATGGGTATAGCCTTTGAATCTATGTTCTGAAACCTATAACACTTGGCATAAATAAATGATGGCATTCTACTCTCTGCGACTGATTTCTGAGGAAACTGGGCCTATGTCTCCATAGAAACAGGAGATCCTGTTAGAGCCCAGAAAAGCAGGAAGTGTAACTTGCACTTCCGTTTTACGCCAGAGACCCGGAAGTTGCCGTGGCGGGGTTGCACATGGTGGGTTCCAGAGAGGATGCCGCTCATTGTGCTTTGCGGGCTGCCGTACAGCGGCAAGAGCCGGCGTGCTGAACAGCTGCGCCGGGCTCTGGTAGCCGAGGGCCGCGCGGTGTACGTGGTGGATGACGCCTCTGTGTTGGGCTCGGAGGATGCGTCCGTGTACTGCGACTCTGCCCGCGAGAAGGCTTTGCGTGGGGCCCTGCGAGCCTCGGTGGAGCGGCGCTTGAGTAGACGCGACGTAGTCATCCTAGACTCTCTTAATTACATCAAAGGCTTCCGCTACGAGCTCTACTGCCTCGCTCGGGCGGCACACACGCCGATGTGCCTGGTTTACTGCGTACGGCCTAGGGGTCGGAGCCTGGGAGCTCCGGTGGACGGAGTGGAGGAGCACCGGGGGAGGAACGAGAGTGTAAGTTGGAGGCCGCGCCCGGAGAAAGGCGCAAAACTTCAGGCGGCCGGCTCCGAGGAACGGCAAGTTGTGCGCTCTGTAGTAGATGGGGATGCCCGAGACAACTTACCTAGAGAAGTGGAGCGGAAGGAGCCTGGAGCCTCAGATTCTCCTTCTCTAGTGACTACGGAATCTGAGAAGTCCGCAGAGCATGTGTCCGGTACCTTTTACCCTCCCGAACTTCTGGAGGCTCTAACGCAGCGCTTTGAAACTCCTGATTCGCGGAACCGCTGGGATCAGCCTTTGTTCACTGTGGTGGGCTTAGAGGAGCCTGTACCCTTGGCTGAGATCCAGGCTGCCTTGTTTGAGAACCGAGCTCCCCCACCCCATCAATCTACACAGTCCCAGCCACTTGCCTCCAGCAGTTTTCTGCACCAGCTGGACCAGGTCACAAACCAAGTCTTGTCCGGACTGTTGGAGGCGCAAAAGAGCGCTGTTCCCGGGGACTTGCTAACACTTCCTGGTACTACAGAGCATCTCCGGTTTACCCGGCCTTTGACCATGGCAGAGCTGAGTCGTCTCCGTCGCCAATTTATTTCCTACACTAAAATGCATCCCAACAATGAGAACCTGCCTCAGCTGGCTAACATGTTCCTTCAGTATCTGAGTCAGAGCTTGCACTAATCAGAGTGGTAGGGGGAAGCATGACATCCATTGCACTTTATTTCTGTAGCAGGAATAATTTAAAGATTCGCACAGTGAGTTGATATAGTGCTAGAGCTGCTGAGTTTGACTGAGTCACTCAGACTTTTCTTGGCTGCCTCTGTGCCAGGCACTAAGCGTTGAGACTAGAGACAAAGAACAGCTTGGAGGATCTTGGCAGATTTCTTCAGCAGAGAGAGCTCAGGTGGACCAGGGGCATGTAGGTTGGGTTCTACTTGGAATGTCACACAATTGATTTTCTCTGAGTTGTAGGTGAGCAGACCATGTATAGGTGAGAATTGCCTTAAAAACAATTGTGAACAGAAACTGAAGGCATAATTCTGTATTTGAACTTTTTTAAACAAATACTTTTTGAGTATTGTACCTACTTTTCTGTTAGCTTTTATCTTGGAGCTGGGTTCACAGGGTAAATCCTTTGTGTTCTGTTCTTGAGAAGCTTTGATTTTTGTGGAAGTGAAAGGCATATTTCCTCTAATAAAATATTTTAAAAGTAGAGTCTGTTTGGACCTCTCATTTAATTTAACTTAATGTTCTTCGTGTATCTTAATGTGACATTTTATATATTCATTCATCATTGGCATTTTTTTTTTTTTTTTTTTTTAGTAGGGTTCTCTATGT